CTCTCTGTTTGCTTTACCGAGGGACAGAAAGGCGGTGCTCAAGCCAAGGGCTGCCTCTCTCCCTTTCTTGGGTTAATATACCAACAGATTCCTCGTCTCTGTGGCTGAGCCCACCATCCGGTGTGTACCCAGCGGTTCTTAGTTCTGCTCCAACCTCTAGGAGCGCCATACCCCTTCCTCTATTAGCCATCACCCATACCTTCTCTGTCTACTGAACCCTAAGGAGAAGTGCTGACAGAGGTCAAAGGCAAGGGTAACACCACGTGAGGCAGGTGGTTGTGGGAAAGCAGAGAGGGTAGAAGTCCTCATGGCACCATAGCGTGGGCTTTTAGGGCTCCACCCCCTGCTGCAAAGCCATGGGCCAGTGATCTGACATTCAGAATCTCATTTATTTATTTATTTTCAAGAAACTTGACTGAGACTTTATTTATCCATCTGTTATTTAGTCAGCAAATATTGTGTCCCCAAGGTATACCAACCTCTGCTCTAGGGGCTGGGGAATACGTTAGTAAATAAACAACAGAAAAATCCCCACCTCTTGGAGTTTACATTCTAGTGTGGGGAAATAGACGATCAAAATACGTAAAATAGATATTACATGGTGTTACGTGTCTTAGAGAAAAAAGGAGGGCCTGAGGTGTTTGTGGGCGGGGGAAGGAGGGGAGTTGCAACTTTATTTTTAAAAATTTTATTAGCGTATAGTTGATTTACAACGTTGTGTTAGTTTCAGGTGTACAGCAAAGTGAATCAGTTATACATATACATATATCCACTCTTTTTTAAGATTCTTTCCCCGTATAGGTCATTACAGAGTATTGAGTAGAGTTCCCTGTGCTATGCAGTAAGTCCTTATTAGTTATCTATTTTATATAGTAGTGTGTATATGTCCATCCCAATCTTCCAATTTATGCCTCAGTAAGTCAGACAGAGAGAGACAAATATCACATGATATCACTTATATGTGGAATCTAAAAAAAGGGTACAAATGAGCTTATCTACAAAACTGAAATAGCCTCACAGATGCAGAAGACGTTTGGTTACCAGAATCCTTTAGTCCCCTTGATTACTCCATGGCAGTGGTTCTCAACCGGGGATAATCTGTCCCTCCAGGGGACATGTGGCAATGTTTGGGGACATTTTGGTTGTCCTTACTGGGTGGGGGAAAAGTCCTGCTGGCGTCTAGTGGGTAGAGGCCGGGGATGCAGCTAAACATCCTACAGTGCACTGGGCAGCCCCCGTCACAAAGCAGTACCCAGTGCCAAGGGTCCGCAGAGCTGAGGCTGAGGAACCCTGTGCTTTGCAACCACTGTTCTCCCCATCTGATAGACAAGAAACAGGCTCACCCCAGACATTCAGAAACTGTGCAACAAAGCTGGGATTTGATCCCCAAAACATGTGATTCCAAAGCCCAGACTCTCGCTTGACCACCATGCTGTCGCTTCCATGGACAGCACCACACTGCCTACAGAGTGAAGCCGGTGCCTCCAGCTGACCTCAGGGTCCTTTCTAGACAGTCCCCAGGCTGTCTTTCTGACTGCTGGTCAGTCTAAAATGTTTGCTGTGTCAGCCTCCGCTGCCCTTCCCGGTCTCTGCTCACATGGTTTCCCAACCAACTCATATATGATCCCCCTTAACGCTTCCACCCTCAGAAATTCTTCCCTGCTCCTCTAAGAAGTCATCAGCACTGTCTCTGCATCTACCTGTCTCAGAATCATCACCACGTGCACATTTACGTAGCAGTCAGCATCCCTCCTGTGTGCTGGACGCCGCATGTGCTCCGCCTACATTTTCTCCTGGAATCCCCACAGTGACCCCGCAGGCCGGCCTCATCATCCCCATTTCACGAAGGAGGAAGCCAGGGCTCAGATGAGTTAAGTGACTAAGGCGGAATCACAGCATCAAGGAACACGGGGTGTGGCTAGGAGCCCGGACCTCTGCTCACCGGGCCCGGGACCTCCCCACTAACGGTCAGCAGCCACATGTGACTCAGCTTCTCTCCCAGGGCCTGTCTCCACCTTGAGAGGTGCTAAGTTGGAAAGGATGCTGACCTGCCAGCAGGCCCCCGGCATGGGAATCAGAGAGACCAGTGGAGGGGAGCTGACATTGACCGAGTGCCGACCCTTTATCAGTCACAGAGCTGGGTAATTTGCATCATCAGAATCACTTAATATTCACAGCCACCCTGTTGGGTAGGTGTTACTATTATTATTATTTTTTCAGCTAACAGATGAGGATTCTGAGCATTTGGTCTGTCTATTGGCCTTGGTTAAGATCACAGACAAGGTGCCTGGTAGAGCCAGGGTTTGAACGTGTGAATTCTTCTAAGACCCTCTTTCTGTGTTACTGAGGAGGCAGCTTTCAGTTGAGTAAGAGGAAAATCTTTCTAGCCATTAGGGCTTTAAAAAAATGAAACACGTTCTTTCTGGATATAAGAGCCCTGTGCATGCGGAGGAAAACCAGTGGACAGGTGGGTGACACTGCCAGGGAAACCATCAAGGAGCCTGGTAGGTGGGGAAACAGGGGCTAGGCTAAGACCTTTAAGTCCCTCCTCTGGGTCAGTGGATGACAAACCTCCCTCTCCTCTCTGTCCCCATGGGGTTCCCTTCAGGGGGTGTGGTCACAGTCCCTGAGACAACTGTGCTCAAAAGGGAACTCTCCAGGTGGCGCTTTCTTTTCTTTTCTTTTCTTTTTTACATCTTTATTGGAATATAATTGCTTTACAATGGTGTGCTACTTTCTGCTTTATAACAAAGTGAATCAGTTATACATATACATATGTTCCCATATCCCTTCCCTCTTGCGTCTCCCTCCCTCCCACCGTCCCTATCCCACCCCTCTAGGCGGTCACAAAGCACGGAGCTGATCTCCCTGTGCCATGCAGCTGCGTGGCGCTTCTTGAGTCTTTTATTTTTTTACTTAGCAGGTCTCAGGGTGAGAACTGAGATTGTTGTTTGGGCTCATAGGAAAGCTGGGTACAAGTTACTCCCCTCGTCTGGGCTACAGGATCCAAGCAGGCTCACAGAATTCTCTGCATTGAAATTTCAAGCCCACTGGTGACACTCCACTCCTCTGCTCTCCTGATAGAGCATTTCGGGAGAGATGTCTCTCTCTGCCCTAAGACTAGAGCATGCCTGGGTCCCTGGCTAACATACCATATTAATACCTTCAATCTCCCACCTTTCATTTCTAATGCTTTCCAACTCTATGATCTTAGAATATGTGTTAGAAAATTCCCATCATGACTTTCATCTTTTGGAGGTAAGGAGCCCCCTGGATCCTGAGGGAATCAAGGAACAGGGGGGTGATCACCTATCAGGGATGCTCTCACTGACATGATGGAGGAATTTCAATGAGGAAGGATAACTTCTAAATTCACACAGTCCATGGAAAAATATGAGTGTTTTTCAGTATAGCTTTTGGACTAAATGTGATCGTTTCCAGGATTAAAAAAACAGAATAAACTATCTGCATAAACCCATTGTGTTTCAAGTCAAAGATGAACAGACCAAGATATCTGAGAGAGAGAGTCACACTAACCCATAACAGGCATTCTTGTTCACTCTGTCCCCACACCAAAGGCCCGATCCCACCATGTGACCCTCCCTCTTCTATTAAAAGTGGCATTTGGATCCCCAAGCAGAAAACTCAGATACACTGAAAATGAAACGTTTTACTTTCAAGCCCTTGGGGCTTTTTGCCAAGTCATCATCTTTGACTGTTCTGACTTGTGTTCTGGCAGAGAATACACTTTCTGCTGGCAAATGACCAATCATGCTTAGGTCAACTGCTTACCAAGGTCATTTGTATGATTGATTCCATGATAAACATCAGCTGGTGATGTCTGTGTTCTCTGGTTCATACAAATATCATGGGGACCCTCATGTCCCCTCCTGGAGCATGTATATTAAAGAACCAGTACACGACAAAGGAACCAGCCAGGGAGATGGGGAGAGATGAATTGTTTTCATTCAGTGCCCGAGAAAACTCACAAGTTCATATACATGTTTTTTGCATTCTAACAACATCACGTACTGTAGTATGTTTTTGAGGAATTCAGGGGAAATCACTGAGATCAAGAGAGACCCCAGTTGCTTGAACCACACGGTGATAACTAACAACACTCACATAGCTTGTATGGTTTTCACACAGCTGCCATCATTCATTCCCTCATTCATTCCCACCAGTTATCACTGTGCACTGGGGGCTCCTGCCCTCAAGGGGCACCGTCTGCCCGCCTTAATATGCATATATGCAGATGACCGTGAGACACTGTTACAGCAGCATCCAGTGGGATGAACTGACTGTATACGCTGTGTGCTGGGTGCCGGAGCTATAAGGTGGGTAATACACAAACTGAGTGTCCCAGTCTAGGGGTGCATCGACCCCAGGATAACTTCAGTACCACAGAATAGACTGAAAGGATGTTACTATCCCCATTTTATGAAGGGGAAACCATGGTCCCGAGAGGTTAAATGGCGCCATTTTCAAATGATACTTGTGTAAAAAAAAAAAGCCTCGAAATTCGTTTGTCATAATTCTTTCTGCTAAAATAAAACTGAGTTATTAGTTGCCAAATAACTCCATTAGTCATCTTCAGCTTTTAAATTTAAAAGAAATAAAACAAAAATACGTACTGAATGCCCCATTTTTATAGGACACTGAGCTAAGTATTCGGGGAAGGTTGGAACTAAAATAAAAACAACAAAAAACCAAGCAGGAAAGTTGGGCGCATCATGTTGTGGGTTGAAGGAGGACAGCGTTTGAAATCATGACACCAAGGTGCTTTGGGTGTTTGAGCTGCCACGGATCAGCTGCTGAGCTTCACACAAGACCCTCCCCCTCTGGACATCCCTGTCCCCGTGAGTAGAATGAGGGGCTGGACCAGAAGCTTGTTAAGAGCTTTCTAATGCTCAGAACCTTGGAGTTGGCACACGGGCAATCAGGACTGACACCCAGGGCCGGCATGGTGCATGTCCAGCGGCAGGGCCATTCCACCCCACCCAAGCCTGGTAGAAGCTGAGCCCCCCACTTCCACAGCCCTCGCGTTCACCACACAGGCGCACATCTTACCCAGCCCCGCAGCAGCTCATAGGCCGTGACACCCAGGGACCACCAGTCAACGGGGTAGGAGTACCCAGGGCCTCCGTCCACATACACCTGGAACACTTCCGGGGCTGCCAAAGACAGGACAAAAGAACATTACTGCATATCTCACTTTACACTCATTGCCTTTTACAGAGAGGACACGGGGCCAGGAACCCAGGTTTTTGGATGGCAAAGCCAGTACTCCATCTGCTATACCACGTGGTTTCTGCCCTCCGTAAGTCACGAGATGGCTAGAGAACAAGGTGCAGGCATCCCAGGAAACACCGGTGTGACACCTGGGACAGAATACAAATGGGGAAACCCAAGTGTGCTGTGGAGGGCGTTCTGTCGGGGAGGGTCAGGGAAAGTCTAGGGAGGAGGAGGGTTTGCTGGAGCATGAATCACGGTCACAGCCCGGGGATTAAAGTCTGAGTTAAGAAGAAGAAACTGCACCCCCAAGGGGCTAAGAACCTTGCTAAATGTCATTCTGCTCTGGCACCAACACCAGGTCAGGTGTCCCAACAACTAGGATGCTTAGAGCCCTTTGTGCCTGGTGCCTGTCTCAGGTACAGTTTTATTTTAGCATAGGTGGGATCGAATATGAAATATCCAGGATAAGTAAATGCACAGGGACAGAAGGCAGATCGTGGGTTGCCAGGGGCCGGGAGGGAGAATGGGGAGCAACTGCTCACTGGGTTTCCTCTGCGGTGATGAATGTTCTGGAACTAGACAGAGGTGGTGGTTACACAACATTATGAATGTACTAAATGCCACTCTGTTTGAAAACAGTTCATTTTACGTTATGTGAATTTCACCTCAATAAATAAACAAGTGGAGGGTGGAGGCCCGTGGGTGATGGATCCTCACTCCTCAGGGGGCTGAAGCTGTTCCAGGGTCCCCTGGTCCTGCTGCTTCTTAAGCTGATGGGTGGTGGGTTCATCACTGCCTCACCCCCAACCCATCAGGCAGGAGTTGCATCTCCAGCTCTAATTGCTCGTATTGGCTTCCAGGAAACTCTTGGGAAATGTGGGTCATTTCTAGCAAATTAACTTATAGATGTAATTCCTTTTATAGGCGTCAGAGCAGCCAAACTCTCTTGCAGGGAACCAGGACATGCTGTGTTTAAAGGCATCTCGACTCAATTTTCAGACTGGCATTCAGACGGCGTGGGATTGGGGAGGGCCAGGTGAGGCAGATGAGGGCAGACATGGACGCTCGAGTCTGGGCTCTGGATTGGCAGCTGGACCATTGAACCTGACCAGCGGCCAGATCCCAGCTGCCCTCTAGAGACCCTCTCCATTTGCTTTGTATTTTATAGCACTTTCACCCGAGGGTTCTCCTTTCCTCTTCACAACAACCCTCAGGGCCATGTTATCATTTGACACAGTTTACCGAAGAGGTTCAGAGAGGGACAGCAGTGCACGGGAAGTCACACAGCAGGGAAGTTCAGAGCTGAGGTGCGCCTTATACACTGGTCGAATCCCAGTTTGAAATAAGGTTTGTATCCACATTTGAGTACAGAAACATTGTCTACATTGGGGAAGATGTGATTGGGAGTTTGAGAAAATGTCCCTTTGGGTAAAATTTGAGCTTTTTCCCAAAGGAAGCAACATGGTGTGATGGGAAACAGGAAGAAGGTCAGTGGGGCTGGAGCCGAATTAACAAGTTCTATTTGCCTCAGTTTTGTAAAACATGAACAAGAATCAACAGTGTGTTCATAGGGTTCTTATGACGATTAAGGAACAATGCAGGCTGAGAGCCAAGCCCGATGCCTGGCTGGTCTATTGTGAGTGTTCCGGGGATCTTGGGCATGGTTTTTATTACTAGAATTGTCATTCAAACCTCCTCTTCTGATTGTGCTCAGCCTCGCCACGGTCCACCCAGTCAGCCTGGGAAGCGTGCTAAACTTTATCGTCCTCAGCCTCATGACCTATCAGTCTACAGACCCGTTGAGTTTGGCATTTCCAGCATCTTTCTCTCTGCCGCTTCCGATCGATCCTAGATCAACCTGAATGCAAAGGTGGCAATCAAACCTGTTCATTATACATCTAGTGAGAAAATATTTGATTTCCTGGCAGCTCCGGGCACTTAGCTGTGCTATTCTGCATCCCACTGGGAGCCTGAGGCTGAGCTCCAACCCAGAGGGGCTTCCTTCCCTGCACCCCAATCTGTGTACTTGTCATTCTTCCCTCAGTGCTGAGGGTTCCAGGAGAGAAGGAGCCACATCATGGTGGTCTGTGCACGTGTAGATGTAATTCCACAGAACCAGGGCCTCGACAGCTGCTGGCCCAGCCCCTGTGCTCAGTGAGGGAGGCAGCGACACGCCCAGGAGTGCAGGCGAGGCTGCGTGCCCAGGTGTCCCCATAAATCCTTGTGGTGCCTGGCAGCCCCATGCCCATCTGGAATTCAGGGCAGAAGCAGCAGCTGACCAATTCTGTCCTGGCTGTTGTGACCAACCAAGTGACAAAACGTCTGCAGCCTGTGACCCCACTCCCAGAGAAGGTGACAGTCTCTCCTCCCTTGCACAGCTGGGGCTGATAGAACATAAACAACCTTCATGTCACAATCCATATGCCACCAAAACAGCTGCTTTAGTGGCCTGGATCAGTGCTTAGAGGCGAGGGCATCATATAGGATTAGAGCTTGAAGGACAGGGACAAGACACAGACCTGTCACCATCATTTCAGGTATGAATGAATGAGTATGGAAACTAGTTTGCCAGGTGCTTTGTTAAGGATTTTATACGTAGTATTTCTCTTCGTCCTCCCAACCACCCAGTAAAACAAGCCTACAGTGATCTCCACGCTCCAGATGAAGAGGCAGAGACATGAAGGGGTGTAGTTGGGTGAAGTGTCCCCAAAAGATATGTCCAAGTACCTGTGAACGGGGCCTTATTTGGAAATAGGGACTTTGCAGATGTAATTAATACAGACGTCAGGATAAAGCCATCCCGGATTCAGGGCGGACCCTTCCTAGATTCCATGGCTGATGCCTTTCTAAGAGAAAGAAGAGGGAGATTTGAGAGAAAGAGAAAGCCGTGGGAGGAGGCAGAGCCTGGAGGGATGCGGCCACAAGCCAAGGAAGCCCTGGAGCCCCCGGAAGCTGGAAGAGCCTCTCCTACACCTCCGAGGGAGCACGGCTCTGCAGACACCTTGATATTGAACTACAGGCTTCCAGAACTGTGAGTGAATGAATTTCTGTTGCTCCAAGCCACCACATTTGTGGGATTTTGTTGTGCAGCCCTAGGAAACTAGTAAGAGGGGCTGCGAACTTGCTCCAGGTCATCCAGCTGGGATGGCAGAGCTGGGATTAGCCTCTCTCGGTATCTGATTCCAAAGTCCTTTCTCCTATACTGAGGTGACTTCCAGGGGTGATGGACTTACCTGAGGATGGGTCCTGATGAAAGCTGCTACCTTCCTTCCCTCTGTCCCAGAGCCTGTCACTCAGCCAAGTGCATGGTAGGCACTTAATCAGTGCATGCCAGTTTCACCCTGGTGCCATACAGCTGGTCCAGCATATTGCTTGCCTGCTTCAGAAGTAGAGACAGCTCACAGTTCAGGACTGTCAGCAGGGCAGAGGTGCAGGGTCCCTTGGAAACCATCTTGTCATCGTCCCCTCTGTGTTAGAACTGGCCACCGGGCTTGAGGGGCAAGAGTGGCTTGCCTCAGCCACAACTCACCAACTCAGGGCTCAAGTCAGAACTCCTGGTCCTGACTTCCAGGTTCAGGGAGTTCCCATTATTGGAACAGTTAAATTCAGCCATCAATGCCAGATGACTCTCCCTCCTCAGCTCCTGTATCCCCTTCCTCCTCTTCGCCAACACATGGCCCTTGTTCAGATCCCCATTCCTTCCTCCTGGTCTCCCGCACTAGCTTCTCCACCCGTCCTCTGGCTTCCAGAGTCTACTTCTCCAGTCCGTCCTTGCTGCTGGGGGAGTTAGCTTTCTGATATGCAACTCAGACCACGGCAGTACCCTGCCTCAAGGTCTTCCTATCACGATGGCTGTTTCACAACCTGTATTCCCCGGAATGCCACCAGCCATGTTAGGCTCATAGATTTTGGAGGAGAAATGATTCTGAGGTCAAACACGTCTGGGAAATGACGAGGTTCAATTGCGTTCTTTCTTGTAGACTTCTTAGCGCCTTTAATGACTCAATAGCAAGCATGGTTTGGAAATTTATTAGACTTGATCCTGGAATCTTTTTGATTTTTCAGTGGAACAGTACAAAGTACTAGGGCTGGAAACCCATGTGGCCTAGAGGGTGGTTTAAATTCTGTAGCCCCTCAGCTCCTACCTGTAGATCTTCTAAGCTGTATTATGGCCCAGGGGTTGCCCATGGCCACCTTGGGCTCGAGCTGCACACGCTGCTTGCCGTTCCTAGAACACCCTGTCTGTCTATCTGTCTCTTTTTCTCTCCCCTAATCCACCAGGTTCTCTCACAAAGGGTGCAGCTTCAGAGTTACCACTTCTAGGAACCGAATACATACCATTCTGCAGGCTTCTTTACATCTGTCATGTATTCCTCAAAATACATCTCTGCTATTATTATTTTCTTATCATTCCCCTCCTTCCAGACTAGAATAGAGCTTCCTCTTTATCCCCACATCCCCCAGGCATCTCTTGATTTTTACATTCCGGCTGCATTTTTGCTTATTTGTTTGCTTCTTGCTAGACTTTAAGCTCCCTGAGGGCAGGGACGGTCATGTTCTCCCTGGCTCCCCAAGTCTTGCCTGGCATGAAGAAGACACGTGGGCAAGGTTTGTTGACTGACTAAATAAATGAATGATCGTATAAAAAAAAAAGCAAACAATACCAGTACATCCCTCGCTATGTGCCAAGCCCTGTTCTAAGTTCTTGACACACTGCTAATAAAAATAGCTCATCTCTCTGGAGCATCTGTCACGCACCAAACTTTGTTTTAAGAGTTTAGCAGGTATTAACTCATTTAATCTTCACAATGACGTGCAATTTGGCTAGCTGCAGCTGAGTCTCACTGAGGAAAGGACCAGGATGTTCTGGGCTGTTGCTGGCAAGGCTAGGACTGGGGGTTCCCTGGAGCAGAGTGAGTGATGAAGAAACCCTGAAGGG